ATTATTATTCATTTTTAATTTAATAAAAATTACAAAGGTTTTCAGAAAAAAATTTGGAAGTTTGGAGTTTAATTGGGAGTGTTTTGTATTCATATTTAGCATACAGGATGATATCAGCATGACAGGACATGAGTTCAACCAGATTGTAGCATCTCGGCTTGGTTCATTCGGGTTAACGGGTGGACCGAGAAGGGATGTTACATGTATTCTATTCACAGCCCACAAAGTCAAAATTTTTCATTTTTAATTTAATAAAAATTCAAAGGTTTCAAAAATAAAAATTCGGGGTGTTTCAATAATATAATTTTTATTTTAATTTAATAAAATTTAGATTTAAATAAAAAATTAATATAATAAATCAAAATTAAATTATCTTTAAATTTGTAACTAATAAAATTAAAATATGTACTTTATTTGCATTGCACTTCACAAACTTGTATAAATAGGAGTATAGACTTTTGGAAATGAAATAAATTCTAAGACACTTTCGGTGATAATTGAGTGCGTCTTAGAACTTGTATTTTCCGTTTAGATATCAAAATAGTGATAATTGAGTGTTTAGATTTCTTTTTTTGTTTTTTAATTTAGTATCTCCTGATGAAGTGGATAGCTGGATTGTCTAATAGGATAAAGTGAATCCCACGTTTACCTACATGTCTGCTTACGTGGCTTAACAATTAATCTATGTAAGCAGTCCAACGGGACAAAGAGGGTTAAAAGCATCAATCTTTCCCATTTCATCTTCCAATTTCTTCACATAATCATTACGCTTTAATAATCTCAAGCTAGCATCTTTAATCTTAGATGCCTCTTAAAGATACTTACTGCCTCTTTAAGATACTTACTGATTGTTTTTGGGATATAAACCAAGCTCAAATCCAAACTTAGATAAACACGCTAATATTGCCTAGATAAATACGCGAATTAACAGTAGAGAGAGAAAATGACTCGTCTAGATATATGTTTATATATAGATGAGGCAAGAAATAAATTCAGATTAGACACGTACCTAAACTTAGGTCCCACTTTATCCTATTAGACAATCTAATTGTCCACTTCATCAAGAGACATTAAATTGAAAAATATTGCAAATTTAGATATTTAATTGTCACTATTTTCTGTTTGGACACTAAAATAAAAAATAAAAAAAAAACATAAATTCAAGCACCAAAAATAACATTATCCGAATTTATTATCTGTCTCACCTATTTCTCTCTCTAATCTTCTCTTTCTATCTCTTTCCCTTTCTGTTTTTTAGTATTTTTAGCAATGGTAATAGTCTCCTATTTCCAATATCACTAAATTTTCAAAATTTAGATTTTCTTTAATTTTGCGCTTACAGCCAACATCACGAGTTAAAAGTAATTTTTAATGTAAATGAATGTAGTTTGGCTCTTGGCAAAGCATACTCAATCCGATTCGTTGCATTTAGTTTGAAAATGATGATCAATTATTGAGGATTCTTTATGTTGTGTAGTTGTAATTGGTACTCTAATGGGCTGAAAAGAGATTTGTTGGCATTCTATATGTAAGGATGGATGCTTCCAAGGACCAATTAAAGGGTCAGGAGGTCCAATGAATCAAATCAGTTGAAGAAAAAAAAAAACTGAAGAGAAAGTAAAATTTGATACCCCTCTCCCCAAGTTCATCCCAAAAATTATTCAAACTATTTTTTTTTTTTTTATAAAGTTGCAACTTTAATTTCCATATTTGAGAAAGAAATATTTATGAATTTGTTAATATGTGGACTTGAATCCCATATTTTTTACTGTCAAATTTGCCTAGATCCAGTTTATGTATCTAGTCACGTATCAAATCAATAAAAATAAGATTTTTTAAAAGTTGTATTTTATCTTTTTTTTTTCTCGATGAATGGTAAAAATACTCTTATAGATAAAGTTATATATCGGGTCTAGATAAATCATTTTTCATTTTTTAATTCATTAGGGGGGTTGAATGAATTGAAATAATACAATAGATTATAACAGGGTTAGCACTTCTCTTAACTCACCAAATTGATGAAAACTATTGTAGTCAAAAGGACTAAAACTCAATATCTTTTACTAGTGGAAAAATCAATCATGCCACACTTGATTTTCATTCTCCATTTATTTTCCTAGACTATTGACCAATATATATAAATGAGTCAACAAATTATCAAATTGTTCAAGTTATATATATATGTGTGTATATATGAAAGGGGAGTGGTTTTTTTATTGGTTAAATAGGAAATCCTTAATTCTTACATATTGAATCAGTATGTGATGCTTCTTCAAAAAATTATGACAATTTACAAAGGCTTGTTAACTAATAAAATCTAGTACACATATATACTTTTTACAATCGATATGAGATTTCACATTATTAAATAATTTGGTCACCTTGAATGACAAAATATAAAAATTATGTGAATTTAATTATTCCTTACCAGTAAAATAAAAAAAAATTCATGAAAAAAAAAAAAAAAAAAAAAAAAAAAAAAAAAAAAAAAAAAACAGAGCTTTGCTTGTAGAATACATTGTAATGTGAAAGTGGACTTTTTAGTACCCTGTTCGGGTGGAGGTAAACAAAAACTAACGCATGTGAAAAATGGAAAATGAAGTTGCCTTTGACCATTTATTACTTCTCGTTAGGAAAAAAAAAAAAAAAAAAAAAAACAGAGCTGCTTGTAGAATACATGTAATGTGAAAGTGGACTTTATTAGTACCCTGTTCGGTGGAGGTACAACTAACGCATGTGAAAAATGGAAAATGAAGTTGCCTTTGACCATTATTACTCTCGTTAGGTATGCTATTCTTAGGTAGTCTCCAAGTTGGCTTCCGGGTCCGCGAAACGGTCAAACTTCTAAGAAAAAACGGGCTTATAGTAATATTTTAAGCGCGGATTTTACATCAATTTCAAATGCAGAAATATTTTAAGTTTTTATAATTATTATATATATTCAATCCCTCCCATAATTTGTTTTCTGATTTGACTTGCACATAATTGAATATATCTTTCTGCTGATATCTATAAAAATTAAATGATTAATATTAAATTATTCTCAAAATTAATCAAATATTTAATTAAATATAATTTTATTGAAAAATTAAAATTGATTTGTTAATTTTATTTATATCAAGATTTAATTAATGATAATATATTAGTTTGACTATTATATTTATGACAAAAAAGCATATTAAATAAGTGTAAAATAATAAATTTCAAATATTATTTACTTTTAAAATAAGAAATAGAAGAACAATTTCAAATCGGATGAAAAGGAAATAGGATAAATATTATGAGATGAAGATAGTACATGTTAGTCCAGTCCAAGTAATTTCTAATTTTTAATTGGATAATTGAAAAACATTGACGTTATTGACTTTATTATTTTTATTCGTAAAATTTATAAGTGAGGGCTTGCTACAATGCCTTTGACGAGGAAAAGTAAGGAAATTAAAAAAAAAATACTATTTTTTATAAAATATTAGAAAATTTTACAAAATATTAAAATTTAGATTTATTTCTTTGTAATTCAGCAATTTTATAAAAAAAATAACCACTTTCTTACAAAATATTTGGAAATATTACAAAATATTAATGAGAAGATCTGTGATTTTGTAACATGATCAATTTTGACACCTCTAATATGACCTACATAAAAAATACACACACACACACATTAGTAATGTATTTTTCAATAATGATAATAATTTTAAGAATTTAACTAGTTATATTGAAATAAGAATTTAGGTAATTTTTTATTTTGTCTGTGATTTATTATAAATGATTGTTTATTTATTTGAAATATTAGTGTATTATATTTATTCATAGTGTGTTCTAAGCGTGTGAATGTCCTAATTTTTTTAAAAATTATCATATTACGTTTCCATATCTCGTGTGCACTATCCGTGCAACCTAACTTCTGGTATATGAGACTACCCCATACACCAAGCTAATCAATCAAGATTTTTTTTTATTACCTAGAAGAAATGAAGTGTTTTTCTTAATTTTTTTGTTTTTTTTTATTAATGAATGATTAGGAAAAAAAAAGAAGGAACTAAAATTTTTTTCGGAAAAAACTTATGTTACCTTTTTTTTTTTGGATATAAAAGAAAAATAAAATTAATAGAGAAAAGAAAATGCAGAGAGTAAAGAGTTAAGATTAGAAATCAATTCTTCCGATCATCAATTTTCGTCAAAGCATAACTTTAAACAGGAGGGAGAGTTTATTAGATTAAAAAACATATGAACAGAGAACAAAAAAAATAAATAAACTTGGTCAATTCATTGAATACAGACATTTTTCGGAACTAAATTTTAAGAAAAAAATAAGAAGGGATTAAAATTTTTTGGAAAAAAAATTATGTTACTTTTTTTATATAAAAGAAAAATAAAATTAATTGGATATAAAAGAAAAATAAAATTAATTTTTCTCTACAAAATTTTTATTATTTTCCTTTTAATTTGAAGAGAAAATTATTGGAATTCTTTTTCCTTATATTCCTTTTTTATTTCCAAATAAAATAATTTTTGCTTATTAATATTAGTTTAATTTTCTTTTCTTTTTTTCTCTGATATTATCTAAAAATATAAAACAACTTGCTATCGTTACAACTTATCTTCTTACAATTATATTAAATAATTATTTTCCTTCGATTTACAATTTGAGCGACTTACACTTGACTATCATTTAAGATAAATTTTTCTGTTTTTATATATTATATACTTGACTATAATTTAAGATAGATTTCTTTGCTTTCATATATTATATATAGACTTAAATGCTTGCCTCTACATGTGCATGGAACATCTGTACATCAAATAATAATAAAAAAATGTAAACGTTAATAATATTATTATTATTTTTGGTAATATATTATTTTATTTTAAGTGAAATAGATTGTCTTTTTTAATATTTCAAATGCTATTTTAGTAGCAAGCAGTCAGCAGTTGACTGGTCTCCTCAACAACCTCTTTTCTTTGATTTCATATCTCTACTGCCTATATATATTAGTATTTATAATTCAATTCATTACTCGTAGCAAGTGTTTCAAATGGCAGGTCAGGTCCCAGCTCAGCTCGAGCCATGGTGCGACCTAAATAACAAGGTGGTCCTAATCACCGGCGCTTCCTCTGGTATCGGCCGAGATATGTGCCTTGGCATAGCCAAATCCGGCTGCCGGATTCTCACCGCTGCTCGCCGGGTCGATCGTCTCAAGTCTCTATGTGAAGAAATCAATCAGCTCCCTTCATCGGCGAATGTCGAGCCTTCTACTGCCCCCCGTGCTGTTGCGGTGGAGCTTGACATCTCCGCCGATGGGGTCACCATTGATAAGTCCGTACAGACGGCCTGGGACGCTTTTGGGAGAATCGATGCTCTGGTTAATAATGCTGGTGTTAGAGGTATTTTTCAGCTTCTGTTTGGATGACAAGAAATTTTCATAATTTTTATAAAAATTTTAACCGGTGTCGTTTTCAGGTACTGTGAAAACTCCACTGGATTTGTCTGAAGAGGAGTGGAATCAAGTTCACAGAACGAATTTGACAGGGACTTGGTTGGTGTCTAAGTCTGTTTGTAAACGTATGCGAGACGGGAAACAAGGAGGGTCTATCATCAATATTTCTTCCATTGCTGGTCTTGATCGTGGTCAATTACCTGGAGGTCTTGCTTATACTACTTCAAAGACAGGAATAAACGCCATGACAAAGGTAGTTTTGCTTTCACCATTAATGGTATCTTTTACTTTCGTGTCTCTTTGTGATTTGATTAAATGGGTTTTGAAAGTTAATAACTATCAATCCAATGCCTGATGTTCTGGTTCTGGGTCCAATGAAGGTTCTTATTTATAAATTTAATAGTACTCTCACCTACGTTTCAACTGAAGTTCTTTTTGGCTCACATGCTTGTGGATTTTCACATTCTTAGATTAAGGTCGAAGGTCTAATTGCTCGGTTAATTTCAAGTTAGCCCAATTGATCTTCATTTCTTTAATCATTCGCTATCCTCGTCCTTTTCCTTGCATCTGTCAAGCACATTTTTGAAAAGTTGGAACCTCCAGTCTTTTTCTGTGTTGGTTAGTTTATGCAGTTGTGTTCTAGGACAGTTGTTATTTCTCATAACACTGATTAAATTTCTCATGTTATTTGTAATTGTGGCTTTGGCTTCCAGTTTGTGCTTATTAGCATGTACTCAGATTGGTACCAGTCTTCGATTATTCCATTTCTCTGTCCATTTCATTTGCTGTCAATGTTTTCTATCTTTCTTGTCAACTTATATCATGTTATAATCCACGAAAATTGAATGATAATAACCTAGTTGAATATGAATTTGAAATACATAAAAATGCTGCTTCAAGATATAGTTGAAGCATGTTTTTGTCGTCCTCATCTTCAAACCCATTAATTTATACAGGTTGAATTAAAAGCTCAAACTTTGGTTGCGGAATTTGTATTTGAGAATCATGAGTTTTTAGAAAGGGGAAAATGACAGTGATTTTAATCTCAGGTCATGGCTCTAGAATTGGGAGTGCACAAAATCAGAGTGAACTCAATATCACCTGGACTGTTCAAATCAGAGATCACAGAGGGTCTTATCCAAAAAGATTGGCTAACTAATGTTACTAATAGAACTGTTCCTTTAAGAACAAGTGGCACCACAGATCCGGCACTAACTTCGCTTGTACAATACTTGATCCATGACTCTTCACAATATGTCTCTGGAAATATGTTCATTGTGGATGCAGGGGTAACTCTACCAGGTGTTCCTATATTCTCTTCCCTTTAATCAATGTAGTATAAGGTCAGGATTCTGATCCAATTTTGTTTCAGTTTCTTCAGATGACCTTTCTGCATTCTGTTGTTTGCATAATTCTGGAATGTAATAATTAGTTTAGTCATGTTGTAAGGGAAATTTCCATCGTAATAATTAGAGATGTGAAATCTAAAACATTCAAGCTCAAGCTTTCTTTATTCGATCTGTGAATTTTTAATCTGCCATTGTGTTCTCATTTTCAACATCTGCCATTTACCTTTCTGTTTTGCTGAATGAAGTATTCTTTGAAATGGAATAACTATTACTTTATGTAAAATCTATGTTTTTTATTTGAAAAATAAACTATTTAACCAAATCTTGAAGTTATCAACTTAAATAAAATAGTTATTTTACATTTGAATTGGAACCCAGATTACGAATTATTATTTAATGAGATTAGCTATTTCCTTCCTATTTCAAAAGAGGCCTTGGTACCCTTTACCGATTAAAAAAAGAACAATGACCAAGCTGCCAAAACATTCTTGAAAAGAAGTAAAGAACCATGGATCAAAATAGCAACTGTTAAACACATAAATTCACCTTGAATTTATAATTTAATCTTGTGGTATTTTGAATTTTGTAGATGACCTATTATGCACCTTAATTTTTTAATTTTGATAATATTGCATACTTTTCGACACTAATCAATAATTTTTAAGATTTTTGACTTCTATCTGTAAAATATCGACTTGACATATACTTAGCATGATTTTTGAAATAATAATTTTCATAAATTTTAATTTTTTAATAAGTATTTAATTACTCTAATTTTGCAAGTTAAAGTGTTCAATAAAATAAATTTTTGACATATACTTAGCATTGATTTTTGAAATACATAATTTTTCATTAAAATTTTTAATTTTTTTTTTTTTATAAGTATTTAATTACTCTAATTTTTTATTGCAAAGTTAATTGGTTCAATAAACAATAAATTTACAAATTAAAGTATTAATAGGTGTAATTTTTTTAAATTTTTTTGAAATAATAATTTTCATAAATTTTAATTTTTTAATAAGTATTTAATTACTCTAATTTTGCAAGTTAAAGTGTTCAATAAAATAAATTTACAAATTAAAGTATTTAATAGGTGTAATTTTTTAAATTTGAAATATTTGATGGGTTAAAATAAAAGTTAAGAGTACCATAGAGTTCAAGTAACAAAATTCAAGTAACAAAACTAGGTAAATTTATGTATTCGGCCAAATAGCAGCATCTTCTACTTCGAGCCCATTTGACAAATTGCGATTTTTTCTGTCAAAATATGCTATTGCATCAAAATGTTACTTGCAACAATAGTTCCAGATAGGCTTTTCATCATCGGAAATCTTAGCCAATATTTTCCGTTTCAATTTTTGATGTATTCTCTCAACACAACATAAATTAAATAATTTACACTTTTTGTACAGATTCATTTTGCCAATTTCATATTATGAGCAGTTCCAACAAAAGATTAAACTAATGATGAACACAATGTTTAAATTCTCAAACTTGGTTATCATCCTTCACAGATTTACTTTATATAATACATAATTCTATTCAGCCCTCTTTGGAGTCTATATCATGTCGGTTTCATGCTTAACATCGCAGTACATTGAAAAAAATTGAAAAGAGAATGCTTTAATTTTCAATGACCCTTGACATCGCAGTACATTCAACAAGAAAACATTATCTCAAGGTACAGAGACAGAAAGAGAGTGACAGATCAACAAAGCAACGTCTTACGATATGAATTACCTTTATCCTAAACAATGATTCAAGAAGCTTCAAGTTAAGAGTCTCTAGACCTTTTGAAATTTCATTTTCATGCACAGAAGTACTCTTCAACTTCAGTCTTGTTTACCATCTACTACAACTTGTCCTGAAGCAGGCACCTGTGCTGCACCGGGTTCACCTTCTGCCCCCACCTGCTAAAACATGAGAAAATTCAATTTCATTTACCAACCAAAGCAGCATTGAAAAAGAGAACTAAAAATGTAATGCATCGGGTTAAGAGCCAGATTAACAATCAAGGGAACAACATAAAATGGTAATAATATAAACATCATAAAATGATAATGAGTTAAACAATTTCCCCAGAAAGGCCATATAAAATACCAACTGTATCATAAAATCATTTAAACTCGATTTGCAATAGTTTTGGTTTCTAGGGGGGAAAGATATAATTAACATAGGTATCTCCTAAAAAATACACAACAGTTGTAGTTTTGTTCGACGTAATTAAATGTAATGGAATATGTTGAAATGACTATCCAATTCACAATGACTAAACAGTCCATGCATTACATAAGGAAAATTAAATCGTATATTCAAAGCATTATATAAATTGGCTACATTGAATTTACCACCGGTCTGCAATCTTAGAATTAAAGTTTGAAGGCATGTTCACTTGTAGTATAGCAAAAAGTAGAGAACAAATTAACTTTCTAAGATTTGAAAATTGTTTTCCATAGTACGAATATGCCTAAGGTTTGTTATTTATCTATATGTAAAGAAAAGGGAACACTTCCTGGTTTCAAACCCATCTGCTTCACATTATATTATTACTCTTATGTGGGACAACCCTATAAGTATGACCTAAGACAATCAAAATTTGTTATCTATTAACTAATTTTAGAGTTAGATAGCTACTTCATTCCAGTTTTACATTCCTATTGCTAATAACAGATTTTGAGTCAAAAATTAGAAAGAATTCTCATAATGAATAATAGATATTTTCCCATATCATTTCATGGCCTAAAGTTGATTTTGGGAAAAATTTCAAAATATAAGTTTTTCTAAGATCAGTATTAATTAACATCAAAGTTCCTTATTTCTATATTATAATATTGCAACAATTCAAGGACTACTATAATCAAACTTCAAAATTGTGTCACTCGACTGCAATCAAATTTTAGAAAAGTTCAGAGCTATACTGGATTAACAATTCTAAGACATTCACACAATAATTCTATGAAAACTAAATCCTGCAATTTCATATTCATATTTTCATTTCCCATACATTACAATCAGTAATTTAGAAATAATTTCAAAAAAAACCCATCAAACTCTTTTCATCCAACATTGTAAACTGTATATGAGGTTTCAAGATTAAAATCCTCTGAGAACAAACCATTTAAAGAACATTCTATCTGTCTCTGCAACTGTCCATTCCACAACCAATCCAAACACAAATCAATTTACAACAAAAACAAAATAAGCCACCATCTCACACTAAATGATTATACATTTCTTTCAATAATACTGCTATTTAAGTATGATACTTTTTTTTTTTTTTTTTTTTGAATTGAAACCCAAGAATAGGAAAATCGATAGACTTTCACTTACTTTACCAGAGCTGTCTTTCTTGGGCAAGGGTTTGTACGGACAAGCCGCAGGAGCTCTATCTGGTTTTCTGTATTCCCATCCAAACAGGGCATAGATTTTTCCCTGAAAAAGAAATTACAATAAATACAAAACCAGTTGGGTTCTATTTTCATTTAAAATTAGAAGGGAAATTTGGGGGAGAAATTGAAATCCGTCTGTTTTTACCAGAAGATAATCGAAGAGAAGAGGCAATATGTTGACGATTGGAACAAGGAACAGAGGCAACAAGCAAGCTATGCAAACCTAGTTCAACGCATAACACAGATCAAATTCGATTAACTTGGGGAAGAAAATACTTAAAAATCAAACAGAAAAAAAAAAAAAAAGAAAAAGAAAAGGATCATGAGGAAGAAATTACCATCTTTGATAGTTTGATTGTATGATTGTAGATTAACTGGATAAATCTCTTTCTTGAAATTTCAGTGCTCTTTCTTAAATTTGCATTTATTTATTTGGATGGATTCAATAATGTGGCAGCGTTTGTCTGTTGGGCCGGTGAAATTCCTAAATTGCCACTTTTAAGCTTAATCTAGTCGAGGGGGATCTTGCCTGTGTGGCAGCATCATTAACAATATTTAGTATTGGAGTACGGAATGGAATAGAATGGGAAATAACATTCCTATTCTCGTGTTTAATGTACACTATGAAATTTAAATTTAAATTTCATTCATTGTTTGGTTGATTGAATAATGGAAGAAAAAGAAACAGTAAATTAGTGAAAGTCTAAAATTATAATACACCTTACATGTATTATGAATAAACCATCGGACACACGGATAGTCTAAATACGTGATGTCGCATCCTATGGTAAATACATCATATTAACATTTATATTCTTATAATTCATATTTTAAACTTTACTTATCAACTTAGCATACTCAAATTACACTTTAAAACTCATATAAAATAAATCCAACTGCTTATGTATACATAACTAAACATATATACCATCTGCAGGGGAAGCTTACAAAAACTCTCAATTACATAAAAATTCATATGTCCTCTATACAATCTCCATCACTTAATCATAAATACAAACCAAAAGAATCAAATACATCATACTCTAATACGTATAATCACAGTTATCAACACTACTAAGCTTATATGGTCGTTAGGATTGTAAGTATATATAAGTCATTAAAAGGTACATGTACTAAAAATTCATATCATAGGTAAAGTCATGTAAGCATATATTCAATTTTTTTTCTCAAAATATGACCTTCTAAAAATTGGGCCTATTGATTTTTTAATTTTTGGTATCTTTATTTCTAAGCCCATGTTAATTTGGTAAAGTCTTGTAAGCATTTATCACAAATTTCGATTAAATTCGGTCCGTTTAACTTCGATGTTGTTAATGATCAAAATTAATTTGGCTAAAACAATTTGGTTAAAAACTTAGTTCTGTTAAATTTAGTTAAGTCAAAAAATATATTCGGTTAATTTACTTTTATTAAAAGTGTTATTCAATTGGCTGAATACTCACCCTTAAGTTGAAGAAGTGAAGAAACATTATAATGCATGAGGTTGTGATTGTGGTGTATGATGGTGTAAAATTATTTTGATTCTTTTCCTACCTCCATTGTAAAAGAACACTAATACCTCATCAAGTCCACTATATATAAACTAAAATTAGTGAAAATGGTAAAAGATTAAAATAAAATTTTAGATTCATAAATAATAATTCATCTGTCTCATAATTTGTATCCTAATTTGACTTATATATATATTAAGAAAATTTAATTAATATTGTTAAACCATAATTTTTGCTTCATTTTTTTCTAATATACCCTTATATTAATATCAATAAAAATGAAAAGAATCATATTAAATTGTGCTTGAATTTAATCAAACTATTATCAAATATTTAATTAAATAGAGTTTTATTAAAAGATCACATGTTGATATATTAATTTTATTTACATCAAGTTTTAATTATGACAATGTAGTAGATCGGTTATTATATTTGTAAGTAAAGAAGCATATTAAATAAGAGTAAAATGGTAAACTTTAAATATTATATGCTTCTAAAAATGAAATAGAACAATAATTTGAGACAAATAAAAAAAGAAAGTATGACAAAAATTATGTGACGGAGAGAGTAAATTTTATAAATAAATGAATTGGAATGGGTAGAATATATGTGAAAATCGCAGCATTAAACAACACCCGAGGTGTATAGCAATTAAATACTTAATACACATATTTGTTTTAAACCTATTTATTAATACTCAAACTTGCTTTAAATGAATTTGAATGTATAAAATTTGCTCTTAAAAATTAAGAAAATAAAAATATAAAAATACAAATTATATTTATAAAGAAATGAATACAATCTCTATGTATAGAATCTCTTATTACAAAAAAGATTATCCTCTGATTTTCTCTTTGTTGTTGCGAACATAATTCAAGGGTCGAAACAACTTGATCTTAGATCAATGTAGAATGAGATTTGGAATAATACGATTCAACGGTCGAAGCAAAGATTTGATATTGAATCGATGTAGAATGAACTTTAAAAAATTCAAGAGTCGAAAAGACTTAATTTTGAATTGGAGTTGAAAGAACTTTAATTTTTTGGACTTGAAGAAAACTTTTATAGTCTTTAATTTAATGTAGCTTTGAGGCTTCTTTTCTGTCTTTCTGTCTATCCCGATATACATAGAAAGACTGTTTATTTATATAGATTTGAGAAAGTTCTCTTCCCAAGCATATAATTTAATTGCTCCACTTGGCATGCTTTCACTACCTGCTACGATATCACTTATCTTATAAGTACACCTAACACATACTTCAAACATTTAATTTAATTGGCCTACTTGACAAATTTATATCGGATTTTACTACATTGTTTAGGAAAACCTCCTTGATTTTCCTTGAATGCCTCGTAGCAAGTTCCACACTCCCATTAATTAAGTGTAGGGATGGGACTCCCCGAGTCCCCCTATAGCAGCTACGTTAAGGCCTTAGCCATCGAGTCATATGGGATTCTTTCTTTCTTAAATGGGTAACCCGTCAACTTCGCTTTGGACAATTAGGTAAATGCACATCTACCGTGGGTGGGCCTAGGTATGGCGATTTTGTTAAAGCTTAAGAGAAACTTGAACAAAGAACTTTAAACAACTGGAATTCTTATTTGCTGAGGATTAAACGGTTCAGACTTGCTATATATAGCCGTACAATAAAGACAAAAACAAAACGTAAACAGCAAAACAAATAAATCCATAAGACTAGGACTCTCCTAAGGAATAGCACTTCCCTAAAGAATAGGTCTTTATTCAACAGAATCCAAAAACTAATCAACTCCTAACAAATAAATCCATAAGACTAGGACTCTCCTAAGGAATAGCACTTCCCTAAAGAATAGGTCTTTATTCAACAGAATCCAAAAACTAATCAACTCCTAACATACCCTCCCTTAAACTTATTCTTGGCTAAAAAGAATTAGTTTAAATCTGAAAAATCACAGACGCCAAGCTTCCTTCGTAATTTCTGGAAGGCTTCTAACTTGAGAGGCTTTGTAAACAGATCAGCAAGCTGATCGTGAGTGCCACAAAACAATAAGTTTACTGTTCCTTCTTTGGTAAGATCTCTGAGGAAATGAAACCTTACCTAAGATCTCTGAGGAAATGAAACCTTACCCTGATATGCTTTGAACACCTATGTAGAACCGGATTCTTTGACAGTTTTATGGTTGAAGTATTATCACACATAATTTTCGTTCCTTCCTTTTGTGAATGCCCAATCTCACTGAGTATTTGTCTCATCCAAATGGCTTGACATGCGCACGCAGCTGCAACTACGAACACTGCTTCTGTTGTCGACAAAGTGACTATGGGTTGTTTTTTAGATGACCAGGCTACTACTCTTCCATTCATCATAAACACGTAACCTGAAGTGCTTTTGCTGTCCTCCATGTCACCAACATAATCACTGTCAGTGAATCCAATTAATTTACCATCTCCGCCTCTTTTATAGAAAACCCCATAACCAGTTGTGCCTTTCAAGTACTGCAAAACCTTTTTTACTGCTGCAATGTGTAATTGCGTTTGACAAGCCATGAAACGGCTAATTAAACTCACCACAAACATTAAATCAGGTCGTGTGGCAGTAAGATACATCAGACTTCCCACAATCTGTTTGTACAAAGTCTCATCTGCTTTAGCATCTTCTTTAAGCACAACCGGAACTAAATGAACACAAAACTTCAGTTTTCTAGGAAGTCAATTCCCATTCCATATTCTAACACTTCTCTCACTACCAATCAGCCATCTAGATATTGGGTTTCAATATCAATAATACGCAGCGGAATAATATAATTATAACGAAATAATTATACTAACAGGAATCTGTTTATACGATTAAAGCAATAAAAATTATTCAGAAGAATACCTCTTTTGCAGATTCTTTGAAACTTTGATATACGCGGTTAGGTTGTTGCAAACCATAAGCTGTCTAAGTGTCCGGCCTCTGGTAGTATCAACACGAATGGACAATCTAAAAACTCTAAAACTATTTTAGAGGAGTTGAGATATTAGAGTGTATGATGATGCTAGCTATCCTATGCTCTATGTTTAGTTTTGTGGCTATTAGTAACAATTATCGTCTTTAAACTATCTCTTAAACCTTATATATGAAAATCTTAGGTCAATAAATAAATTATAATTATTTATTTAAACTTTTAAATAAATAAATTATAACTAAAATATATATGTGCCTATTTTAATCATCCTTACAGTGTCCTTCTAGCCGCACAGGAGCAAAGACCTCAGTGTAACAAACCCATGTTCTGAGTATAGCCTCTTACGGAACTAACCTTGCTTTGGTGTTTGTCTACCTCACCAAAGCTCATTTAACTTTGTTTTGTAGATCCATTTTTTACTCCTATTTTCTTTGCACCAGCTGGTAGGTTGACTAGATGCCTGTCTGGTTCTTTTCGGATAGAGTTGGATCTCCTCATCCATAGCCAATCTCCAATTTGAGCTTCTTTACAGCATCCTCATAGCTGTACTGGATCTGACACTGATAAAAATACAAAAATTAATAATCATCTTCCATAGTTGACATCTTTCTTCTTCGGATAAAACCTCCACGGTTCAATAGTCTGTTGACCATATGGATGGTCGTTCCTTGTTCTGCCCTCCCTATGGAACAATTCGGATTCATCATTTGAATTCGCAACTGGATTAATTGATGTTTGTGACAACAGTTCAGCCAGACGGTATCTGCAGTTTTCGTGCTTAGTTTTCTGCAGTTTCATGCTTGTTTGTACTTCCTTTTTTTTGAATTCTCTATGCTCTCTTCCCAAATTAATTCATGCTTCATCGTCACAATTTTCCCAATCCCATTTCTATCTTCCATCAAACACCACATTTCACGGCTTCACGATGATTTTTCCTTTTCAACTGGATGAATAATCTGTACCCTTTGGATTCACTGCTGACTCGAATAATACACAAACATGCTTTTGTTCTTCCAGTTGTTCCGTTTAGCATCTGGAATAATGGAACATGACATGATACATCCAAAAAAACTCGGAAATAATCTACTGCTGGTTTTACTTCAACTCCATGCTTCTTCAGTTGTCCATGCCTTTTACCGCATAGTGTGGGAGAGCGATTTTAAGACGA